TTTTTTTTTAAGCATTGTAAAGTTTGGTTTATTGTAATAATGACACACTAGATATAGTTTGATTTGTTGAATCAAGCATGAACCCTAATATTTATTTGTAATGTTTTTGTTTTTAAACTGTTTTGTTTGTCATAATTTGTATACATGGAGACGTTTAGACATTCTGGCCCTAAGCACCTGCCACGTTTGTTTTTTTTTAATGTACAGTGATAAGTTTGTCCCCAGACTGATCTAAACGTTTTTATGATATAGTGCATTTTGTTTGGTTTTCTTGAAACGGTCTCATTCGTTTCAAATAGATTTTAACCAGTTTCGTCTGGTAACACTGCTTGACACCAATGCTCATTATTTGCACTGCAAAAATTGATCAGCATCTTGAGGCGTCCCTAATAAAATCTTATATTTAGCAACAGTGGGGTTTTTTTTTTTCCTTGATGGATTATGTATAACTTTCTTTGTTAATCAGGACATTGTTAAATGTGCAGGAGTTTTAATTGTAAACACACAAAAAATGAAATGCCAACTAATATGATTCTGTTTTTATTATTCTGCATTTTATTTTGCACAACAATATTGTTTATAACTTATACTGGCAAGGTAGCATAGTAGTGTGTAAACAGGCCAAATGCAAATGCTGCTCTGCCTGCCTCTAGTGGTCAGTTATGAGAACTGATTTCATAATCATGCCTTCATTTTTGAGGTATTTCGAAGGCTTGATCAACATATTCAGCTTTTGTTGGCAACTTCAGCATCATATTCTTTTGTAAGAAGAGTTTTGCAAGATTCTCATTTGAAGAGCATTCAATAGTCTGATGATCACTCCCAAACCTCATGCTATGGAACATAATGAATTCGGGCTTTAGTGTTTTAGAGTTAGAAAAATCTTGGAACTTTTTATAAATACTGATAGGAGAACTTGTCTGAGAGAAAAATAACATAATAATGGACAAAACCCTGAGCAAGTTTGCAAAGCTATACATGTACGACATACACAAAGCAGAATCATGGCAGCAAGAAAAAACAATCATTAGCTGTGTGCAGAATTACATAGTTTTATAGATATTCTAAAGAACTGTAAACAATCAAAAAAGAAGAATCCCTCCTTTACACACTGATTAACCACTTAATGCCCACTGAGTTTAAAACAGCTGCAGCTATTCTCATATTTACATATTTATACGAAGGAACAGGAGCATTTGCTATGGCTGAGCTTTATGGACGGCTCTTCCAGTCTGTTCTCTCAGTCTGCTGGATTTCCAGTGATCATCCTGCTATCTGACTGGTCCTCAGCAGAACCAGAAGGGCATCCATAGAAGAGAACGCATTGCTGTACCTGCAGCCATTCCAGCCAGGAGGCCCAACGCAATCTGCTCTCCAAAATTGTTGTCATAAGAGTCTCTGTGTACCCAGACATGCTGAGTCCCTGCAGGGAAGCACATCAGGATTAGAGGTACGTCCCTGGTTAAATGTTTCTTTGTTGTACATCTTGGATGTCCTGAGGGTGAGAACATTTAAAGGAAATTTTAATTTTTAGGTGAACTATTCCTTTAATTTTCCTATTTTTCTCACTTGGATTGTTTGAGCTATAAAGTAGCAGTAAAGTGCACCATAAGGAAATGAATGAAATAATCATAAAATGGTTGTAATAATAATTAAAACAATGTATTATATCAATGTATAAAAAACACAAAGTGGCAATAACCCTTTCTCTGTGCTTTCTGCAGAATGAATGATGTGTTTGTATAATTACCTCCACTACCTGTACTTGGCATGATGTAAACTGCATTATGACTGTCAATTGGAACGGTTTGGTATGTATCGTCATAGGGATTGTATGTGAAAACCTATGAGAGTGAAAAAAAAAAATGTAAATTGAGTAAAATATTAAATTACAATAAACAGAAAACCATCCTGCATGTAAAAGATAACACTCACAGGATTTATTTTCGCCTCCATGAGTGTGAGTTTCCAGGCCCTGGAAATAAATTTGCGAGGAAAGTGAGCAGGGCTTCATATGTTGTGGGAGGGTTTAAGTTAAAATGTCAAAGGTCAAGACTTACAGTGCCTCATCTTCACTGTTGGCACACAGGATCAGCATATTACCATGCCTCAGATAAACAACCAGCAGATTCTCTCTGGGGTGACTCTCAGGTGGACATACATCTGCTCACAAAGACACTATCTGTTAATTATATTATAACACATTGTTAAAATATTTCATACCATGCACTTTCTACATGACCAAATAACTTGAAATGTTGAAAAAGTTCCTTCCTACTTGGACACTCCAGTCCAGACTTCACATTCACACAGGTGGCCTTCAGATTCACTTTGGTCTCATAGTCTCTTCTGGATTCAGTTTTGTAAAAAACAAAGCTCCCATCTATCCACAGGTCACACCAGTTCAACTTCCAGCGTTTGAGGATTGAAGCTGTGAAAGGTTTCAATAAAATATTAATAAAAATCCACAATATGATTGATTATCTGTCTTCATTTCCATGGTCTTTTGTAGGACAGACAATATACAAAGAAGCAAACTACTATAGGCTTCATTTCCAGAATCCTTTTATAATCGATTATTAGATTCCAAGCAGTTGGGAACAGACTGACAGTCAGCTCTTAACAGTTCATTGCCTACATTACCAAACTAATACACATCCCTTAAAAGCTAACTAGCTAATACACAAGAGCCTTAAAAGCTAGCTAGAACTGGAAAATTTGATTAATTCCAGTTAACTGAATCTTTGATTCCGTGCAGATTTGTTCATTGATTTATTCAAAACTTACTCTTTCTGTAGGTTACAGCATTTGGTGAAGAGTATCTTTACGAGTATAATAAATAAAACTTTGAATCATTCAATCAACATATCCGTTCAATACCACTGAGTCATTCACATCCAAAACACATAGCACTAATACAGATTGAAATAAATATTTGATACGACAGGATTAGACTGTTATTAGACTAACAAAGAATAGACCTAAATTTATTTGTCATTTATACCATCAATCATAATTATATTTTTTTCTGTTCTTTTGAAGACAATTAGCTTGGAATCGACTCCTGGTGTCGACTCCATTGATTCCGAATTCTATTCCAAACGTTCGGCATGATGTTATTTTGGGGACAGTATTCATATTCGAAACTTTTTTTATGTAACCCTATCGGCATCTATTTATCATTTTTTAAAAGTAATGCGTTGGAGCCTCTCTAGGTGAGCACTAAGCAACCTGGGGTCCAAAACTAACAGCTACTGTACTGTACTGTAACACCGACCGTAAGAAGATTACTGCAAACAGTGTCAGGACCCGAGTTTCATAACAAACCTTCTGGAACAGTCTTTGAAATATATAATTTCAAAGAATATACAATAATTGTTTATCTATTTATATGAATATACATACAAAGTCTTCCTCAATCTTTTGGTGCTAAAAATGTTAACTACTTCTAATTTTCAGAGGTATCTTGAGAAGATTAAGAAACTCTTTAAATAAACATATATAAATGAAGAATCATATACTTACACTGTCTCCAGAGCCAGCCAGATTTGAGCAGCGCCATTGGGCCTGATCAGTCAACTGCTACAGGAACAACAGCTATACTCCTAATGTTGTGCTTGTGCGATGACTGACTAAAGATGTCTCGGCAGTCGGAGGGGGTTTTGTAGTGCTGGAATAGTTGATGACTCTTCCTCTAATCCTTTTAACAGGCCAAAGTGAAGATTCGCTGGACCAGTAATCTCAGATTACAGCACCATGTGAGTTTGTACTGGTTGTACATGGAATATTCTCTTTCTTTCCTGTGTTTCTCAATCTCTACTTCATGTTATTGTGTACAGTATTACTGTGTATCAAGGTTTAAAAGTTTAGCCTGTTAACAGCCTCCTTGCTCAGATTGAATGCTAAATATGCATACTGAAGCACACTCATCTAAATCACACTAACATTAACCTTAAAATACACCTGTTGCATTTTTTTTTTAAAGATTTGAATTAAAATTAATGTCTTCATAAACTTAATTCCTTTCTGGAGATGTCTCAACAAAGAGGTTCTGAATGATTTTGTAATTCTGTGGACAGACATCATGTTCACATGCACACCTTAATCTCCCTTTTGGCTAAATTGAGCAAACACCAAGTAATTGTAGTAGTCATATCAAGCCAATTATCTGTTTTTAAACCATCAATGTACCTGACCTATAAACAGATTTATCACAGAAGCTGTGAGACCTGTAATTAGTAACTTCGTCATCACTGCATGGCACTGCAATTTTTCTAAATCAGGAATTACCCTTAATCTGTAGTAAACACTCCCAGGTGTGTTAATTTGACTGGTTTTCACTGGTTTTAAACGTGTCAGCCTTTTCACGAACAGCTAGTAACACATTTAGTACAAGTGTACTTCTAGAAATGCATGACCATAAAATGCATTAAATAATGATACAATAATAAAATTAACAACAATCATTATTATTATTAATATTATAAATACATAATGCAATACTACTGCTACTGCTAATTATTATTATTATTATTAAAAAATATATTATTTATGATATTGAACTTATGTTTGATTGGGTAAGTGTCCCACTTTACAGTGTTTTACATACGCCCACCGCTAGATGGCCTCAACAACATGTGACGAAGGGCCTTTTTGTGATTATTTTATGATGATGAAGGTATAATAAATTGAAGTAAGTGACAGTTGATAAAATGTTTATCATCATCACTGCAGTTATATGTAGAATGAGAACGGCAGAGTAAGAGTCTGAAACTGAAGAGTTATGAATGAGATTTTTCTCCTTCATCTTTGTCTAATCTCTCACAGTTAAATACTGCACGCTATTCTGTACACATTTAGCGTCATACTCTAACGGAAACATATATCACATATATCAACACGCGTTCATAAACACAACAGCACAAAACTTTCAAAACGTATATTATTATTCGGTCACCGGAGGGCGCTGTTCTCAATTCTGTTCCACTGACTGAAGTTCTTCTCATTAGAGTTCGCTTTACGTGAGCAGCGCAACGGCGGGGTCTGGAAGTATTTCTGTGATCTATTTTTCTTTCTTCCACCTAAACAGATTATTCCGCTCTGCATTTCTCCGTCCCGCAGATGTGTTTGGGTATTGCGGGGTGAATTTCTAGAGGCTTGTCCTGTATATCCAGATCCAGACATGCAGCCTCCTCCAAGAAAGGTGAGTCGACCTGCTTCTTTATTTGTTCTCACTTTTTACGATGTTTTGTTGTCATGTCAGTCTGTTTGTTTGCTTGCTTTCTTGTCTCCTTGTTTGTTTGACTAAATTATATATTAATTTGGATAATTGCAACTTCTTTAAATACTAGTAAAATATATAATATATAATGTGTGTATAAATGTTCACACACACACACAACGTATTATACATGACACATAATGTTTATGCTTATGCTGAGTTCCAGCATCTGTCCTACTGTCTCCATTGACTCGAGTATGCCAGACACAGGTTCCTCTTTCAGGTTGGTGTGATCTGGGTCAAAGTTGGTTCTCCTGAGGTTGTCATGTGTTGCAGGTAAAAGTCACACAAGAAGTGAAACACACTCACACAGAGCAGCTGAACAGACTCCAGTTTAAACACCAGACAGACTTGGACTTCCTGGAGGATCTGAGGTCGAGCTTGATTTTACACTGCTTTTTAAACACCTGTAGAGCTATTTTCTGTCTGTCTGTTGGTATATTAGTGCTGAACTGCTTGACTTTGTGTGTGTGTGATTAATCCTCAGGATTTACAGCCAGAAGAAAGCACTAATAGAGAAAGATTGCTCACAGGTGAGTTGTGGCCACCATATTGAATTACATGAGTTCATAACTTAAAAGTGTGTTTATTTTTGATGATGTAGGGTGATTTTTGTTCTGAGATTAAACAAATCTTTTAAAGATTTTATGGTCAGAATAAGGAAAAATGTATTAATGATGAACAGATGTTATGCATCTTCCACTGATCACTGACAATTTATGTGTGAATTAGTTTGTTTTTGTAGAGGTAGATTTGGTGACTCAGTGGAAAAAACTGTGGTTTTTAATGACCTGCAGGCGATTGGTTTCATGAATTTTTGCCAGTTGCGTTCTGGTTTGAATCTGCTTTTGTCTCTTTCAAATGCGTTGCTAAGAAGATCTACATGACATCAATGCTATGTCACTTTATAAATATGATTTCATATATTTGGGTCATTAGGATGTACATTTTCATCTATTTTTCCCTTAAAGCTACAAAACTTGAACTTTGAACTTTCTATTCAAATAATCCTGGAAATGTCTCTTGAGCAGCAAATCAAGAAACATTCAAAAATTAAATTTAAAACTTTTGAAGGATCATGTGACACTGAAAGCTGGAGTAATGGCTGCTGAAAATTCAGCTTTGCCATCAGAGGTATACATTACATTTTAAAATATATTAAAATGTGAAACAGTTATTTAAATTGTAATAATTTTTCACAATATTACTGTATTTTGATCAAATAAATGCAGCCTAGGTCAGCATAAGAGAATGAATTGTAGTGCATATTGCATAAACAGACTAACACCCAAATTTTATAGATGTACAGCCTGACATGCCGACAGTCCTCATCAAGAAACTATGAGATCTGTGTGATCACTTGGTGAATGGAGAGCCCAGTTGTCTGAATGACACTCAGTATGTGTGTGTGAGTGAGAGTTTCTTTTCTGTTGGATCTGAAGCTTGTGCACCTGCAGGGCTGGTGGATGCTGATTGGCTCATGAAGACAGGAATCTTTCTCTTCTTCAGGGTCTTCTTCCTGAGTCGAATCATCAGAGCTGGCAGCTCATAGGACTGGGTTGGTAGTGCCAGATTGTAGTCTGAGGGCCAGAAAGCAAATCCTCTCTGTTTTGAGCGGATGCTGCTCACTCTCTGTCCTTTGTGGAACTTGTTACGGTTCAGTCATTTCAGTTTTGTTGAAGTTTAACTATGCTTTGTTGGAATTATCGTCAGTACACCCTTAAAAAGAAAGGTTCCCAAAGGGGGTTTTCACAGCAGTCCCATAGAAGGACCATTTTTGGTTCCCCAAAGAACCTTCCAGTGAACAGTTATTAAAATAATAAAAAAAAAAAACATTTTAAAATTATAAAGTATCATTTTACATTATAGGTACCTTTTGTGGAATGGAAAGGTTCCATGGATGTTAAAGGTTCATCATGGAACAATGCCAATAAATAACCTTTATTTTTAAGAGAGTAATGGTGAAGTAATGAAAGGAACTTTGTTCTAGCTTGGTTATTTTTCCGTTTTTGTTTTAGGTTTTTTTGCTCTGATATTTTACCAAATTGTTTGTGACTTTTGGAAATCAGTCCAATACAGTGACATTTACTTGACTTGAGGATGGAAAGTGAGTGTTATTTTCTCCTTTCTTCAGTTTCAAAAGCAGCCAGTTGCTTACTCACTTGTAAATCTACACATTGGCACGGTCTGGCATTTAAGTGTCAAGCAGACAGGCAGAAATACCCATGTGGGTTTTGCTTTTACAGACTGAAAGTTGTCCTCCATGTTTTCCACATTTGCACTGATCTGGAGCGTTAGGATAAAAGGAGAAATTTCTCCTCTGAGGAATCTGTTTTATTTTGTGGTGACAATTGAAGTGGAGTTTTTAAAAGGCTACACAGAAGCTCTGAATCTAAACTTTCAGAAATGTTTAATAACAGTATATTGAAGGAATAGGAAAATGTACTCATCCTCAGGCCATCTAAGATGTAGGTGAGTTTTTTTCTTCATCAGAACAGATTTGGAGAAATTTAGCATTGCATCACTTGCTCACCAAAGGATCCCCTGCAGTGAATGGGTGCCGTCAGAATGAGTCCAAACAGCTGATAAAAACCTCACAATAATCCACAAGTGTTCCACACGACTCCAGTCCACTAATTAACGTCTTGTGAAGTAAAAAATCTGTGTGTTTATAAGAAACAAATCCATCATCAAGACGTTTTCAAACCATCACTTTCAAGTCCTCTATCCATAATATTGCTTTCTCTATTGAAAAAGTAATCTCGTCTGAATCAGGAGAGAAATATGCACAGATCATGCACCATTTACAAATGAAAACAGACCTAAACAAATATGTTGGTGGATTTTGATGTGAGAGGACAACAGGGGAACTTTTTCACTTGAAGACGTGTTATTATGGACTGGTATTTTGGCCAGAAGACCATCTGTATTGTATGAAGTGCTATATAAATAAATGTGGCTTGACTTTATAGGCTCTACATAAGCTTGCATCGCAGTACTTGAAGCGGGAGTGGTCTGGAGCCCCATCAGAGGAGCAGAGAGACTCCAGGTAATAGGAGAGATGAGAAGAGCAAAGAAAAGAGCAAATATGATGGATTTTCAATCGCAGTGTCTATTTGTGTTCATTATCAAGCATAAATGTTTGGGCCGTATGGAGATCCTACTTGGAGGGTGTGATGAAAGTGAGCCAGTCTCGTATTAACGGATGTGAGAACTACAGGAGCCAGATCTCAGATCCTGTGAAGACGTTCAGAGAGCAGAAGGACCTGCAGCTGAAGAAGGTAAACACATCAAGAGATACTCTGCACTAAAGTGGCACAGCGACCATTTATTCATCTGTCCTCTCTCAGTGCTGCGAACAGCTGGCAAGAGCTCAGGCTGATCTGCAGGTCACGATCAGAGACCTAGAGAAGAGCAGGAAGACCTACCAGGAGGCGGAACAAACAGCGCAGACTGTGAGAGAGAAAGCTGATATGGAGGCCAAGTACGTTCGCTGACCTGTCACCTGTGAAGGAAGTGACATCAGCTGTCCACAAGAACAGGGCAGAGGGTTATCATGTTTTTCAGGTTTAAATGAAGATTCATCATTTTTTGCTGTTTTTCCTTACTCTTGTTTCTTTTTCTCTGGTATTTTCTATTATTCCTGTTGGCTCATGCAATACAAGGTCAAAGCTCAGTCTGTTTCAGTCACGCTCCAGTTTGAAGAGGGCGAGTGTGAAGGTACAATGCACAATATATCAGTACCATATTGGTTTAATGGTTGAGATCGTATATTTAATAGTGCATGCTCATTTCTCCTATTTTTACATTTAGATTACCATCTAACACTCACCCAGAGTTAATCTTTAAAAAAAAAAACTAATTATTTAATAACACTGATTAATGTTATCTTTAGCAAATACCAAAATGATTATACATTTGTCACATGGTACATTAAAATGTTGTGATTCAATTGTAGCATTACAAATTATTATATTTTTTAGTATTTTATTTATTATAGAATTTTAATATTAACTATTCTTTAATTCTTTATTGGACAATAATAAATATTTTATTTTTGATTAAAAAAGGGTGAGAAAGAAAAGTGGAAAATTGTTATTTAAAAATGACGACAAAAATACATTTAAAAACTGTTTTTGTGCAAATAAATTACAAACCTGTTAGTGAATAACAAATATAAAATACGTTATTGTTTTTTAGGATATGATCTGTTTAATCGGGACATTATTTAACTACAGTGTGTTAACTGCACACTGCGCAACTGGCATGTAGTAAAATTTGCTTGCAAATCATGGTGACAAGTGCACATGTGAACATTTTCTGTTGATTTCAGCTGAAAGCCAAGAAGAACGAATGGAAGTCCAAAGCCACACAAGCAAGGAATGATTACCTGCTCACACTGTCAGCCACTAACGCTCATCAGGACCGCTATTATGAGACCGATCTGATCAGCTCCATAAGGGTGAGGCCAAATGTTGATCAGCTTTTGTCTTATTAATTTTTTTATTTAAAATAGTCTTCAAAGCACAACTGTTTTCAACATTGATAATAGAAATGTTTCTAGAGCATCAAATCAGCATATTAGAATGATTTCTGAAGGGTCATGTGACACTAAAGACTGGAGTATGTAAAACTGTTATTCCTTGTTGTTTTTGAGTCCAGGTTCTAGATGGCAGTTTCTACGATCACGTACAGAGTTTTCTCATTTCACTGTGTCAGACGGAGCTTGAGACATCTCAAAGCATTCAGGACACTTTTCAGTGCCTGCTGGAGACGTCCAGTGGGGTGAGTGACACACACACACACACACACACACACTTGAGTATACACTGCTATGGAAAAACACAGATCAACCACAGTGGCCGAATGTAGAGCAGGTAATATGATCTGCCACTGGAGGGTTGCTGGATCAAATCCCAGCTCAGACAGTTAATACTGACCTTAAAGAGAGAAATGTACCGGCTTTAGAGAGTTTGCAGTGGTTTAGAAATGAGATCTTTACTCTATTGTTAGAGCAGACAAGCTTTTTAAGATATACTGATGTTTCAATTTGGCAGTAACTGGGTAAAACATAAAAAATGTTGAAATACAAAATGAGTGTTAGTTATTATTATAAATGTGTAGATTTGAAGAGAATCGACTGATTTTCAGTAGTGACAGCCTTCAGTGTGTGTCATTAGGTCTGGTTGTAGTCCAGTGTTGTTGTAATTCGATGATTGTCACAGTGTTTCCATTCAGTTCATTGCACTCAGGTATAATGTCTCTAGTCCAGCATCAGGTTACAACACATACTATTCATGAATTACCTGTTCTGGTGGTCTGTCATTCCTCCAGATGAGAGATTATGTTAGCTGTGCTATTGTTAATGTGACATCTTGACATTAGACAAGTAGTTTACATAAATGTAATTGTCCTTGTGTGTTTGTATGTGTATGTTTGGCCCCTCTGTAGGTGACACAGGATATCCACCAACAGGTATTCATTCAGGACAACCCAGCGTTTCAGAAAGCCACCCCCTTCCAGTACCAGCCTTGTGAAAATGATTCGGTATGTTGCCTCCACCTCAAGAACATACTAAAAAAATCACACAAACAACAGAACTCCTTTTCTCCCTTTACTATTCATATTTGTGATATAATTTTTTTAAATATAATTTATAAATTATTTATAAGTGTATTTATTTTTTATTTATATATTAGGGTTGCACCAGTAATAAACAAATGGATGATATTATAATAAATATATAATGGATGATATTACAATAAATATAAAATAATATAAGATTTTTTTATAGAAAATACTTACATTTAATAAAATGAATAATCTAATCCAATATTATTCTATTAAAATTTATTAAAAATAATTATTTTATTAAAATTAAGAATTTAATACAATTAATTATTCTATTATCTAATCTAAAATCTATTTTGTTTAAATAAATGTAACAAAATGGTAACTAAATTTAATAAAATAATATAAATAATAATACTAATATAGGTTTCATTTGTTAACATGAACTAACACTGAACAATACTTCTACAGCATCTAATAGTCGCTCAAAAAACATGCAACATTCCTTTTCTTGAGCCTAATACTTATAAATAAGAGGATTTTTACAATAAATATTTCACATTTCTTGTGGATTCAAAGTTTTAAATGAAGGTTCAGCACATAATCCTAACCAAAAACTTCTTTCACTTTAAATGTCACTTAAAACATTGTTACAATATTCTTATTTTTTCATTAATCAGTCTGAAAAAGAGGAAAAGTGCTCTAATGAAGGCCGAATGTGTTCTTCCATGACTGTGCAACTGTTTTTCAAATATGCTATAGCGCCCCCTGCTGCCCGCAAGTCATCTCGCCCTTCACCACACCAGCATAGTGGCCCATTTGTTCGCTTACCCTCTTTTTGTTTGTGAGTCAAACAAGCATTAGTCTGTTCCTAAAGAAAACATTAGAGATGCAGCCCTCAGCGCTGGTGGGGCGGAAAGACCAGGGAAAACTGGGCGTCAGTGCAGGCAGGAAGCAACACGGCCTGTGAAAAGAGGGCATTGAGAAGTGAACCTGCCCCACCTCTTGTACCCCTCATGAACACCTCCCATTCCCCGTCCCTAAAATATAAAGCTTTTTTTTTTTTTTAATACTGCATATTATTAGAAATTGAAATCACATTCATTGGCTGTATTATCATCAGTATCTGCATGCTGTAGATCAGCTGATGCATGCAGGGTTCTGTGTTTTCTCACTCCCAGGCAAGTCCATTAAGACTGATATTGTGTTTTTTTTTTTTTTTTTTCTTGTATTATGCTAAAACCATTTAGTCAAGGATTTGTCGTAATATTCAGTTTTTGGTGAAAAGGAGTTGCTCTGTAAAGTAGCATCTCGAAGGATCATTCTTCAAGAGCTTACGTCGCCTAATCATTTAGTCTGTCAATATTTACAGACATAATATTTTAAGAGTGTCGTTGTGCAAAGATTTGATTTTGGGAGTTATGCTGTGACACATGGGTACACATGGGCACTGAGAAACTATCAAGGTTTCATGTGCAGGGTCTGTGTTGTGCATCAGTCAACTCTCTCTCTTGATCTCTTTAGGTCAGGGAACTGCTGAAGGAGAGTGGCACGGCTGAAGAACATAGTCTGAATAAAGAAGCAAGGAAATGGGCCACACGTGTGGCCAGAGAACACAAGAACATCATCCATACGCAGCGGGTGAGGGGTCTCTCAAACAATATTATGTCTCAGCATGTTAATTTGTGATATTAAAAATATTTTATAATTTTATATAATTATAATTTATAATGTAAAAATAATTTATAATTTAATTAGATACTTTTTATTTTTATATTAGTTGCACTAATATAACAATTCTGGCTGATAATTAAATATTAAAATAAATATAAAATATTAATAGTTAACATGAACTAAAAATGAACAACACTTCTACGGCATCTATTAATCTTAGTTCATGTTAATTTAATCATTTATTAATAGATTTGACATTTGTTTTCGGTTTGATGTTTGTTTGTTTTTTTAGATTCTTTCGGAGTACGAAGAGTCACATCAACAGGACCAGAATAACAACGAGCTAGAACTGAAAATGGACGATGCAAGAGAATGCATTCGGAAATCCGAGGTGGAGAGTTTGTTTATTTGTGTTTGTATATCAGTCCAGATCATAAGTGGTCCATCACCTCTGGGAAAAACCTACTGTTAAATGAAAACATTGGCTTAGTGACATCGCACGCCCTCTGCTGGTCGCTACTCCTTGAACTGGTTATTAAAAGAAGCTGCACATTCAGTTTGTAATAGTACTGGTTCTTGCATCAAATGTTGTTGAAATAGTTGATGTACATAAACGATGTGTAATAAAATAGGAAGTTGTTAGATGATGAGTCCACTCTTCCTGTAGACAATGAAACTGAAGGCAGAGGCGCGTCTGAACCTCCTCCGAGACATTGGTGTGGCTGTAGACGTCTGGCTGAAGAGCACCATGAACCAAGTGATGGAGGAACTGGAGAACGAGAGATGGGCGGCCCTCAATACCCACGATGCTTCATTCTCTGTAAGTCTGAATCTCTTACAGTCAAAGCCAGAGTCACGCAAACCCCTATAACCCATTCTAATGAAGTTTTACAATGAATGTCTAAAGCACTCTGTAGATTTTGACAGAGAAGATGATGAGGACACAGAGATGCTGGACGACAGCAGCTCCAGCCCCTCCAGCACTCACAGGAACTACCCTCTCACCTGCTCTGTGCTCTACTCATATCAGGTACACACCTAGTGTGGTCTAGCCTGTCATTCTCCAGTCTTTCAGGGTTCTATTCATCCATTTGTGATGTCATTTCCTGTGCTTTATTTCCACAGGCGTCCCAGCCTGATGAGCTCACAATCCAGGAACAGGAAATACTGGAGCTAATTGATGATGGAGACATGGAGGACTGGGTTAAGGTACGCGCAGACCCTCTCAACTTGGTCAGGAGTTTTTGAACTTTCAAGTGCCTATGATCCTCTTGCCTCACTCATTCCTTAAAATATAAAGACATGTTTTTTTCTGTATTAATTATATAATTTCATGTATACAGATCCATTTGTACTGTGTAAGGAAAATATAATTGATTTATTTTTTAAATTACTATAAATATTATAAACTACTTTTCAAAAGTTTGGGGTCAGATTTTGTTTTGATAGAAATTAATACTTGAATTCAACAAGGATGCATTAAATTGATCAACGGAGACAGTAAGGACATACACTGAACAAAATTATAAACGCAACACTTGTTTTTGCCCCCATTTTTCATGAGCTGAACTCAAAGATCTAAGACTTTTTCTATGTACACCAAAATATATTTTTTTTAATGCTGTTCTTTCTATTCATCAAAGAATCCTGAAAATAAATTACGGTTTCCACAAAAAAAGTAAGCAGCAAAACTTTTTTCAACATTGATAATAATAAATGTTTCTTGAGCAGCAAATCAGCATATTAGAAAGATTTCTGAAGGATCATGTGACACTGAAGACTGGAGGAATGATGCTGAAAATTCAGCTTTGCTTCACATTACTTTTTAAAATACATTAAAATAGAAAACGTTATGTTATGTTGAAATCAAATTTTACTGTTTTTAATGTATTTTTATTTTAGATAAATAAAGCCTTGGTGAGCATAAGAAAATGATTTTAAAAATATATATACATTTAAAAAATCTTAAGATCTTTCAACTTTTGAAAAGTTGTGTGTATAATGGAAAAAAAAAAATTGTAAAAATTATTATTAATCATAACGGACTTCTTTTGAGTGTACCTTTTGAACATAACCTTTGAATGGTAGTATATATATATTTATAAATATAATTAATATTTTTAAATAATTAGTATTTATATTATAATTAGCATTTATTTATACGTTAATATTTTAATTTTAAAAATAAAACTATAAAATTATTGAAATATCTAGAAATAGTTTTTAATCTTAAAATAGTTTTTATATTTTTTAACTTTACAATTTTTTTCACAAACTATATACATATTTTGTTTTAAATTAAGTTCTGTTAAAATACATTTTGTCTTTTTTTATATCTCTAATTTTCTGCTGACCTTTCAACATCCTGTTGGGCCCCATAAGGTTTGAAAACCCCCTAACTAGATGCCAATTATGATGTTGCCATTTATTGGACAAGTTGATGTTTTTCAGGCTAGGAACAGAGCAGGGCAGGTGGGATATGTGCCGGAGAAATACCTGCAACTCCCGACCTCCAGCTCTCTATTGAGGATGCTCCAGTCTTTCTCCAGCATAGACACCCAATCACACACCTCCAGCACTTCTGCAGAACAAGAGCCAGAAATAGAGACACTAACCCAGAGCAGCCCGAACACTCATGGCAGCGGTGAGACCACTGGCTATAGTATAATATCTGGAATAATGCTAGTTTATAGTATTATTATACCTTGCTAGTACTGAATGCTTAATATAATTTACAAACAAAACTACATTTTCTGCCCTGTTTCTCTTTTGCACAGCCATAAATCTGGCCAGGGCTCTGTATGCCTACGAGGCTCAGACAGAGGACGAGTTGTCTTTCCCCGAGGGAGCCGTTATTTACATTCTCAGCAAACACAACCAAGAAGATGATGGGTTCTGGGAGGGCGAGTTCAATGGCGCAGTGGGCGTCTTTCCCGCAGTATTAGTGGAGGATCTATGCAGACCGGAGAGTGCACAAACACACAAGAGCATGAACGTGCAGGTTTATACACATACTACTGGAGAACACGGTCCACACTGAAAAAGTTTCTTTGTTCATGTTTACTGCAAGCCTGTGTTCAATTCCGAAATATTTTTGTAACAGCTGTTTCTTACCACCAGGTGTCTCTGTCAGTTCTGGATGAAGCGGCTAGTCCACCCACAGTGTTTCCATCCTGTAGAAGTCCAGAGTCCGTTTCGCTGCCATCTTTGAGCAGCACACTCACTTTAAATGGCTATCAAACCCAAGAACCCCCCAAAATCTCGAGCCACAGTAAGACACAGAGCACCACAGCAAACCATAAAGCTTCATAGTAAAGCTCACACATGACTATAACATTTTTAGTGATTTTCAGTCTCACTACCTCATTGTCTTAAAAATTTTGAACAATTAAAAAAAAAACATTATTTGATTTGATTAATTTAACTACTTACAAATAAACTTTATATTTTTCTAAATAAAAAAATCAAATTAACTTTTTGGCCTACCAGTGTTATTTTAATATTATTTATATACTATTTTAATATGCATTCATATTTTGACTTAGGTTTTATTTGGATATTTTCAGTTTTCAATGTTTTAGTAATTTTATGTGCATTTATCATTTACATTTTTTTTTCTGTTTTAGTTTTAGTAATTTTAGTACTTGAACTTTTACTTATTTTCAATTAGATCCCAAGGCAAAATTTATCATTTTAATGTTTTACGTCTTTCATTTAATATTTGTGTTTTTTATTTTATTTTAGACTTTATTTCAAGTTACGAAAAAAAAAAATTATATTATAATAAAAAGGGTTATTACAGCTAACTAAACCTAAAACCATAAAAAGTTTGTTACTTGAAATAAAATAAACATTAACTGAAATAAAATTAAATATAAAACGTATTTTATCTCAAGCTAGCTGCCAAAGCAATGTTTCATTTTGTATTGTTTAACTTGATGTACTAAAATAACAAACTAAAAATGAATACAAACTAAATAGACATAAAAAACACATAAAAATGTAACATTTAAAAAAAATACAAAACCACACTACAAAATGATTCACATTTTAAAATTAAAATGGACAGAAAATATAAACCTAATTCAAAATATGAATAAAATAATAGTATCTCAATAGTATTTCAATGATACTAAAACAACACTGCCTGAGGCTATTCTATTATTAGATTTATGCTCTTGTCAGATGTCAGAATCATATTCATCTGTGTCTTTTCCTCCACAGGTCACACCCACACCCTATCACCCAGATCCCCAGGAGAAGGCGGGTCAGGCCTGAGACCTGTGAGATCTGCACTTCTAAAGCTGCATGCCAATGATGGGCGCTTAACTGTGAAATCTGATGGGTGTTTTTGTTTTCTGCAGGTACGAGCTGCTCCACCTCCACCCAAACAGCAGGCACAGGGCCAGGTGCAGAAGAGAGAAGAGGTGGAGATCACACTGGTTTGAGTGACACCTTGAGGCACATTTTACAAATTGACATTGCCATGCTTGGATCCGATGCAGGGTGGACGTTCTGAAACTTTTTGAAGATAGGATGCACAAGCTGACCATTATGGTTCCAGTCCTCCTCCTCCAGTTTTTTTTGAGGGCAATTAAAACAGACAAGGCCTAAATGTGTTAATGTATGGACATGCAAAAGCAGGCTTTACTAAAACTACAAAGAGACTTTAAAGGGAAAAGTGGCAATTTCAGTGTTGATGTTGTATGTATGATTATATATTCTGTCCATAAACAATTTAGGGCTAACATGTTTAGATGCATATCATAGTTTTTAGCTTATCTGTAACTTTATTGTCAGTATTTTATTCGTCTGATCAGACATTATTTGAATGCATATTCATATTTTGTAGGTATTGTGAATTCCAGGAGGCTAAACTTAACCTGAGCACTTTAGATTTAGTTTGTAATGCATTACAGTATTTTGTTTTATTTTGGAAATTCTCGCGTTTTCTTTGTTTTTGTATAATCTTAAAAAAGACATAGGGAGATGCTGAGAGACATTATTTTTTAGTTTCAGAGCGTTCGAGTTTAAAAAAAAAATAGTTCACCAAAAAATGAAACTTTTGTCATCATTTATCTGTCTTCATCTTATTCCGTAGGAAATTATTTGTAGGAAGGGGGGGGGGGGGGTTTTTTTTTTTTTTTATTTTTTTTTTTTAATTTTTTTTTTTTTTTTTTGGTTTTGAGAGTTCCCTTTTTTGTTTTTGATTTGTTTTATCATTATTTTTTTTAATGTCTACTTTAAGTGTGCAGGAAGTTTTACTTTTAGGTCAAATTCAGAGGTTTACAAATATTATTTCACACAGTTTTGTCAGATTTCATGTTGTTCATAATGTTTGTTCAGAGGCTGCCATGAGATCCTTTTCTGTTCAAAGTGAAAATAAAAACATTTCAGTCAACATGCCTTGTGTAGTGGTTCACAATAAAATTGGACAAATTGTTTCAATTGTTCAGTTTCTGTAACACCCTTTACTAAGAAACGGGTGGGCAGGGCCGTTTTTAACTTTTGTGCGTGGCTTCCGGTGTTATTAGCTTCTAGTTATTTTTCCTGTATAAAAACAAAACAATGCTGCTTAAGGCCCCAATCAGACAGAATGTGTTTTTTTTGCATTGAGAGGAGCCTTTTTGTTTTCCGTTGGTACTTGGCAGCAGGGGCAACGCTATGGTTTCAAACTTGTTGCCAACTAATTTTCATGGAAAGTTGCTAAAGGCAGGTCAATTTGTTGCTAAATGACGTTGTGATGTCATTGCGCATTGACGTCATGTGATTTATATAGCATATATATATATATATATATACAGTGGGTACGGAAAGTATTCAGACCCCCTTAAATTTTTCACTCTTTGTTATATTGCAGCCATTTGCTAAAATCATTTAAGTTATTTTTTTTTCCTCATTAATGTACACACAGCACCCCATATTGACAGAAAAACACAGAATTGTTGACATTTTTGCAGATTTATTAAAAAAGAAAAACTGAAATATCACATGGTCCTAAGTATTCAGACCCTTTGCTGTGACACTCATATATTTAACTCAGGTGCAGTCCATTTCTTCTGATAATCCTTGAGATGGTTCTACACCTTCATTTGAGTCCAGCTGTGTTTGATTATACTGATTGGACTTGATTAGGAAAGCCACACACCTGTCTATATAAGACCTTACAGCTCACAGTGCATGTCAGAGCAAATGAGAATCATGAGGTCAAAGGAACTGCCTGAAGAGCTCAGAGACAGAATTGTGGCAAGGCACAGATCTGGCCAAGGTTACAAAAAAATTTCTGATGCACTTAAGGTTCCTAAGAGCACAGTGGCCTCCATAATCCTTAAATAGAAGACGTTTGGGACGACCAGAACCCTTCCTAGAGCTGGCCGTCCGGCCAAACTGAGCTATCCTAGAGCTGGCCGTCCGGCCAAACTGATGGTGAGAAATAAGATTCTCTGGTCTTTTTGGCCTTAATTCTAAGCGGTATGTTTGGAGAAAACCAGGCACTGCTCATCGCCTGTCCAATACAGTCCCAACAGTGAAGCCTGGTGGTGGCAGCATCATGCTGTGGGTGTGTTTTTCAGCTGCAGGGACAGGACGGCTGGTTGCAATCGAGGGAAAGATGACTGCGGCCAAGTACAGGGATATCCTGGATGAAAACCTTCTCCAGAGTGCTCAGGACTTCAGACTGGGCCGAAGGTTTACCTTCCAACAAGACAATGACCCTAAGCACACAGCTACAATAACGAAGGAGTGGCTTCACAACAACTCTGTGACTGTTCTTGAATGGCCCAGCCAGAGCCCTGACTTAAACCCAATTGAGCATCTCTGGAGAGACCTAAAAATGGCTGTCCACCAACGTTTACCATCCAACCTGACAGAACTGGAGAGGATCTGCAAGGAGGAATGGCAGAGGATCCCCAAATCCAGGTGTGAAAAACTTGTTGCATCTTTCCCAAAAAGACTCATGGCTGTATTAGATCAAAAGGGTGCTTCTACTAAATACTGAGCAAAGGGTCTGAATACTTAGGACCATGTGATATTTCAGTTTTTCTTTTTTAATAAATCTGCAAAAATGTCAACGATTCTGTGTTTTTCTGTCAATATGGGGTGCTGTGTGTACATTAATGAGGAAAAAAAATTAACTTACATGATTTTAGCAAATGGCTGCAATATAACAAAGAGTGAACAATTTAAGGGGGTCTGAATACTTTCCGTACCCACTGTATATATATATATATATATATGTATGTAAATACAACATTGAATTATTGAACATTTACACATTTTTGAACAATTATCTTTTTATGTATTTTCTTATTATCTAGTAAAACTACACTGAGCGATTATATTTTAAAGCAGTGTATTGGAAGTTAGTATGCTACACTTTAAGAAAAATCGGTATAATAAGGCACAATGTACGGTGTTAATTTGAAGGAATTTTCCGTATTGATTTTTCACAGGGTTTTTTTTACCTGAATTTAAAATTATGCATTGTATTTTGTGTTTTCAGGTTATAACTTAATGGATAATATTCTGGCAGAAAATTACCATTACCTTTTCCATTTTTCTAAATTTGTTTTAATTGATCAACAAGTGCAGGTACAAACTAATAACAAGGTGTTTTCATGAATAAACAATTATTATTGAACAATTGCGCCTAGCAACTTGACGTGATATGTGTACTGCTAGACACCTTTGATTTCCTCTTTTTGTGTAATTTAAAGCTGCAGTCCGTAACTTTTTTTTGGTTAAAAATGATCCGAAATCAATATTTGAGCAAGTACATACTTGCATTAGGATGCATTAGGACTTGCGTTTACTGACCTAATAAACTCTTTTGGAGTCAAGCAAGACGTCACCGGGCCCACTCATCGTTTTAATCATACGCTAGATTTAATTATATTGCATGGAATTGATCTTACTGATATAGATATCGTACCTCAAAGTGATGATGTTACTGACCATTTCCTTGTATCATGAGCTACCACTAAATATTGTAGAAACTTAATTTGCTGTAAAGATTTGTATCGTGAAAAGCGCTGTTTTCATTCATACAACTTGAATTGAATTGAATTGAATTGAACATAACCAGCCAGTGTTCAAAACTATCGCCTTACTTCAGCCCGATTCACAACGGTCAGTTTATAATAATGTTTTCTAATTTGAGTGGTACGGGTAGGTTTTCGCGGGAAATTCCATACTCTTCACAACATTAGATTCATCCACGCTGGAGCCGTGCCGACTCACAACCCACGCAAACTAGATAATTCCGCACACAGCTGCAATCCCAGGTTTTCACACAGAGATGGCGACAAAGAGGCAAACTTAAGGACTGCAGCTTTAAGGAAAAGGTGTGCCTTTTTATCATCTGACTCACAGCTGCTAAAAGTTGCCAAATAAATTTTTTAAATAGCTACATTTGTTGCTAGGTGCTTTTTGAATAAAACGTTGCTAGGGTAGTCTGAAAAGTTGCTAGATCTAACAACGAAATTGTTAAGTTGGCAACACTTTAGGAGCGCTCAGAGCGCTTTTGTTTTGTTTTTTTGAAGATGGAAAAAAATCAACTCTGATCTGAAAAGCACCCGACGTCATTCGCGGGTTTTCCCCATTGTCCAATCGAATGAATGGAGAGGCGGGCCTTCCGTTGTGGTGACGGACGTTTCCAGTTGCTTGGAGCGTCCAGAGATTGCAACAACAACAAAAAAAAGCACACTTTTTTAAATTAAAAAAAGTCAACCAAAAAAGGCAGTGTGGTGCGCCTCGCGCTTTCAAACCTGAAAAACGCGTTCTGTCTGATCGGGGCCTACGCGGATTTTAGCTTTAGCCTGACGTCACAAACTCACAAAACCCTCTAACCTAATTAAGAAAATATTTTTTTTCATTCTCTGCATAGCGGGACGTGTGTTTAAGACACATGCTTATGTTCAGGTGAGCACGAGTCAAACGCCTGAGGGGTTTACTTAGAGAAGAGGTCACGTAGCGTACTGCTAACTAGACCTAGACAAACCTGCCTGAGATACGATCTACATCCGAAAATAATATTAATAGCTTGTTTGTAAGGAGATTTTGCACTTGACCTCAATTAACGTGCGATATTAAGTGAAGAAGTCATCGTTTGAGATGTTCACAAGTCACGAATGAGTGCTGTCAATTTCTTAAGTAATAATAATAATAAAAGCCTTTCATCTCACAATTTGGACAAGCTTTGATACTTAAATTATGACTTGCTGCAATATAACAAAAGGTAAGCATGTCTGAGTTTAATCTAGCTGGGGATTGGCACGTGTGTCAAGAAACATGACTATAGTGCTCACATTTAAGTTTTGACTTCATATCATTTAAAATTTAATATTTCATACAATAAAGAACCAACCAGGATGACAGTGATTCCATTAGATACTTTAATACAGTAAAAAAAAAACTCCAGCATACAGCAGTTAATGTAAACATACAAATAAAACACTGTAAACCTTGTAAATAATTGTGCATCCATAAACAAAAAAAATAATTTAAAAAATGCTACAATCAGTTTCATCACTTCATACGTCCCCCCCCTCCCCCCTTTAGGGATAAATAAAGTTCACAGATAGTCTCCAGCCACCAGAAATAAAACAGTTCTTCTGATTTTATGAAAGGCCGCTCAGTCGTTCACTGACTTCCCAAAGCTTTTTGGCCACCACGTCATTATTAGCTTTGGCACTAACTTTCTCCACAGCGCAGCATGAGAAATAACATCCACTGAAATGCTCGATTCCTTCCTGAACGGCACAATGCAGAGTCGTTTGGGCTCCAGTTTTTGGGTCCAGGAACAGCAATCTAGCCACTGGCTCGATGAACACTTTCTGCCAGAGACTCACATGGCGGGAGAGCTCAGTCTTTACAACACCTGCAAAAGGGATCATACAATATTATGCATTTGTTTAA